ATTGTTAATCCTCTTTACTGTGTTTACTCTCCACTTCCCTCCAGTCTTACTGTCTTACTGTGATTGAGGTGCTTAAATTTTAAGGGATCTTGAGCAAAGCTTAAGAGACAGCTACTTCCAAAGGTGATTAAAATGACTAACATGCCACTGACCTTTTTTTTCTCTTGAAGGTACACTGATTTTCACTAGCTGAAGGTCTGTTAATGCTGCTTTTATATTCACAGTTTGCTTGCCTGTGAACGTAAGGCATGTGCAAACCATTACCTGTGGATGTAAGGTATGTACAAAACCACTGAAATGATCCAGCTTCTTCCGCTCTGTGCTAAGTTACGAGTTGTTCTTGGACAATCTGCTTTTACCTTTTGGCCACAGTCGTCTGGGCAAAGAGGAAGAATAGCTGGTTTCTTCGCAGAAAGAGAGAGAAATGCTAAAGAAATATTTGAAGGTATTCCAGGTTTTGAACAGGTTTTGCCTTTGCTCATTCACACATGCTCTTTGTTACAGAATCTCTGGCTGTAAGACCGCTTTTCTGATCTGAAAAATGAGCATAAATCTCCCACTACTTATTATGGATCTGAGTGCTACCTAGTCATTATGCCTGTCCTAGAAGTCATCTAGTGAAAGGTGTCACAGATGCCGTTTGCTGCTGATACAAAGTGCCACACATTTGGCCAATCCTTAGTGCCACGGAAGCATTTCCTATGGGAAAATTCACATTTTTAGAAATTTTCTTCCTCTGCCAGCAAGATGAGAAAATAACTGATAGACTCTTGAGACAATTTAGTACTTACAGCATCTTTTTTACCGAGGGTTTTATCACTGTGGATATAACCATGCTGCAGCACTAGATAACATGATGTGTGATCTCTTCCAGGCCTTGATCTATGCAAGAACACAGAGCTGGTGGGCCAGCCCTGGCATCCAGCCACATGGCATCCAATGCCTGCAACTCCTGCGGAGCACGCACTAAGTTTAGAGGTGGCTCTCAGATCCTTGGAGGAACTGTTCCTTACCTATTTTCCTGAATGTTTTACCTGTCTGACCACACTGATTGATAGAGCTGGCTGACATATTTTGCAATTTGGATTGAAAAGCACAGGATTTCAATACAGGATTTGTTATGATTGTTTCATGCTGGTGGAACTTGAATATTTCTCACGGAGATGCAGGGATGATGATAACAGCAGACTATTTTGGCTCTAGTAATTACTTTACACATGGAAGCCCCAGTCCACTAGGTGACATTTTTGACAAAAATGAAGTGTCAAAAGCTGGTGATATGCTGATATTTTAGCTTTTACAGCAGAAAACAAACAACACCAGGAGACCATTTTTATATAGATTCAATAAAAATACAGTTGAGTTATGATACTTTGAGGACAGTAACTGCTTTTCTTCCTGCTATAGATAAGCAGTCATGAGAGAGTTTGATCCGGTCTGGCTCTTTGAAACCAGTAAATGAGGTTTTAACTTAACTGCAATAGGATTTTTCATCTTTCTATTTCTACTTTAAATTTGATTCTTATAAAAGTGAGGAATTATTACCACAGATCCAACCTCTGTGCGAATAAATCTCTGCCTGCACCTTCCTGTTAAATCTTTTAACTCTTTCTACACTCTAGAACCAGATAACTACTGTTATTTCACTCTTTAGTGTGTATGTTTAGTGTGTTATTTCACTCTTCAGTGTGAATTTGCCTAATTAAGACAAGCCAAATGCTTTAAGCAAACAGGAGATGGATATCACTGATGTTCAGACTACAAAATCCACTTCATTTGGAATCAAGTTATTGCAGTAAGGTTCTTTGCAATAGCCTCCTGTAATACTTGTGGATTTGTCATTGTGAGATATATGGCATATACATCTGTACCATAGTTTAATTCAGATTGGACTATAGTACCTCTTTTACCCATTGATATACCTTAAAAGGAAATGATTAGTATGCTCTTAATATTTTTATTTTAACCTATCTTTTTTTAGCTGATGGGCTGGCGAGAAGTTTTAAATGTTGTTCCTGTTGCACCAAACACAATATGAGCCATCTGCTACAGGCAAGCCAGTTTTTACACTTACTGGCACTACAAGGTTTTATTGCACCCACGGGCTCCCATCAGAATGAGGGTTTCCAAATGTGATGACATAGATCTCCTCTTCCTGATCCCCCAGGAAGAAGTAAAAAAAATCCTGTCTAGAAAATCTAGAGGGTGATACTCTTCTGCAAGGTCTTACAGAATGCATGTTTGGATAATAATTCCTGCCACGTTCATATTTACATTGCTCAGTAAGTGATGGAATCTCAGTGATACCCTAAGATGCAGGCAAGTGCATCTTATATCCTCTTATATCTGTTTCAGAGGAGGAAACAGAGGGAGAAAGGGCTCCCAGGGTCTGTTTCTGCTGATCATTGTGAACAGCCCTTTCCTTGGCGTACTCTGAGAGCCAGATTTCTTGGAGAGGCTGCGATGGAAAAGGAGACACACAGAGAAGCAGAGTCTGCAAGAAGGACTGGAGAGCTGAGCAGGTAGACGCAGGTGTGAGAGAGTCCAGGGCAGAACGAAATTCCCCAGCCTGGGGGAATGTTCCCAGGGACAGGGAACACGCTGGAATGAAACTAGACTTCACCTAGATTAATTCCCTACTCTTTCTCTAGACAAGCTTAACTTTCAGCTGGAAATACAGTGAAGGATTTTTCAGACTATCCAAAATCTATTCAGCTCAACAATGCGTGATAACACTCTGTGTCAAAGGCACAGATTTACCTCTCATGAAGTATCTTATCTTATTTCCCAGGGTTCATCAATAGATATTCTTTAGAACGGATCAAGGAACCTGAACTATTGAGGAATGGTGCCAAGCACTTTAGGGCATTCACTTAACAAAGACGTTTTTAGATGTTTTCATTGATGAAAAGAAATGCTCTAGTTACTCTGCAAGAAAATAAAATTAATAAGATTTTCTTTCATATCCATCCATTCTACCTCTGAGCAGTTTTCAGCTTAACATTTGTCAGCAGTGTGAATGTCAACAAGATCTAAAGGAATTTTCACTTCCCTGAGCCTAATACCATTTCAGCTGCTGACTTGCACGTTGATCGTCACATTGTTGACAAATAATGGGTGTCTTCATCAAGTATCTGTATTGTACTTCACTGATATGAAACACAAGAGCTTTTTGTTATGTGAATTCCCACAGAACTCTCAAAGCATCTCTACATTTGCCTGCTTAAATTTATTATTTTCTTTACTCCCCACCTATCAGCATTAGAGAGAAGATCTGAAGAAATATTCTTTGCTAGGTACAAGTTGCCCTGGAGAGCTATTGCTCTCGTTGGCCTATTTTGCAGCCTTGGCAGAAATCATTCACAGCTTGGCAGCAGGCAGACAAATGCAGTAATTGTTTTTGAATCATATACAGGTTTGCACATGGAACTGGACCCGTCTCCAGCTGTGGAAATATAGGTAGAAATTTTGCATTAAATCAGCAATCCAAATGGACTTTCAGTCATAGCTGATTCTTTTTGAAAGTTCCACTGATAGAATGAAAGCTTTATAATTCCTGAAAATTAATAAGCATTCATTTTAATGAAATCAGAGCCAGAATAGATACTTATGTAAATTTAGTAAGAAATTAGTTACAGATTTCTGTCTTTTTGTTTGAATTATTCCTTTTTGATGCTCTTGGATATAGTATTCTTCACATCTTGAGTATGTTTTTGGACAACCAGAAAGCATATGCAATGGTCACAATGTTATATTTCTGCTAAGGCTAATCAAAAATCTTGCATTTGTGTTTTTCTGGAAATATACATGTACATATATATGTTTTTGTGTGTGTGAAAAGTGTTTTTTCTGTTTCTCCTATACCCTTTCTCCATAAAAAAGAAAAAAAGCTTTGGCTGAAAAAGAAAACATTAATTAATCCAAATTGTGACTCAGATGTCACTGCAGTATCTCAAAAAATGTGTACTGAGCACAGCTCTGCTTGGGTTGGGTCACCCAGCTGCACTACATGCCCATAACTCTCATGGTGAACCTATGGCAGCTCCATATAATAGTTGGGTGCCCCTGGGGCTATATATGAGCCCATAGAAGAGAAAAGAAATTCCATCCATCCCAACTACAACTCTCACATGATACTCTCTTTACCAGACCAGCACTCCAGACTCATAGTTTAAGCCTTCATATAGAAATTTCCAAGTTTTGACTTTTTTTTTCTAGATAATTGAAATATCCTTTAGACAAAGCAATGGTCCTGTTCTCACATTTTTCTAAGTAATTGAAATCAATATTTCTAACTCCTCCAGGCTTATACTAGCATATATATCCCAAAGACAGAGGTACATGAGCAAGGACAGTTGTAGATGAGCTGATATAGTTACTTCTCAGAGTAAGCACTCTTCATATAGCTTTTAAATGAAAAGAAACAGGTTTTAAATTTGATTTTGCAGATGATCGTCATGATCTGAGAATAAGTTAGAATTAGAGTCTCCCCCAGAATTGCACAAATTACCCTGGAGTTTGAGTTGAAAGGATTTACATCAGTTTGAAAAGCTGTAAATAGTGGTGGAACTCAGTCAAAAATTTCACATCCATCATGAATTCTGGATCCTGTCACACCTGCTCACAGGTCTGTAGGAGGATAGGAAAGGGTTTCCTATCTTTTTACTGGGTCAAACTAAAGCCTATCAACATTCTCCAGCACCCTTGCAGTACTTTATCTATGAAGAAGTTCATATTAAACTGAACATTGTGGCACTGTCCCATTTCTAGTTTTTCTCATCCTCTGGCCCATGGCTGTGCATTGAACATCATCCTTTACACAGGCAAGAAAAGGAACATTAAGTGACTCTCCAATGAAAACACATTGACTATAGGATGTGCACAGTATGCATTTTGCCTTTAGGATGCCTTTAGACAAAAACGAGACATCAGCCAAGACTGAGGCAAGCCTTTGTAGGATTGTATTGCCCTAAGCACTGCAAAAGCACCCGTATTCTTACCTTTTTATGGCTTTGTAGCAAATGATGACAACTACAAAGAGGAACACTAGTGTGGCGCTGCATACTGCAATGGTAATAACCAGGCCTGGCCACCAGGTCTCCTCGGTGGGACAAAAGGTAGACTTGGGAGCTGTAGAAAGAATATGGGAAACATGCATGAGTTCTCCCAACCAAACAGTTTATGAGCAGTTACATGTCAGTCACCCAATGCAATAGCACTATCCCAGGGCCACAGACACATGCAAAGAGGATACTTTACATTAGGAGTATTTTTTTTGCAATCAACTTCCCTCTGTTTGGTACGAGATGATTGTCATGGTCCAAACACGTTCTTGTGGCTCTGTTGTCTGCAGCCTGCTGCTCGGAGTGAGGAGAAAGGCTCAGCTCTGCTACCTGCAGGAAACCGCTCTTCCCTCCCTGATTGCCTTCTCCTGCTGCATCAGCTTTACTTTCAGAGAGATGTCCTGCTGATAAGTGTAGGCTTTCAACCCACATTAGGGGAAGTTTACTGGGGAGAAGCAGCAATGCCTACCCATCAGGTTTGTAGCTGCAATCACTTTAACCTTGAATCAAGGAAGGGGAACTCATTTTAAAAGAGCAGGAATTTTATTACATGTATTAATTGCTTTTAGAGGACTCTAGTTGACAAGATTATTTTCCATTACACTACCTTTGAATTGTATTATTTCCAACAGTGAGAGATATGTTGCTCTTGAAAATATAGGAAATTATTATTTTTTTTTCTTATTTAATAGAAGACTAGAATTCTGTCTGTAAGTATCACTCAGAGCAAAATCTAGTTTGGGTCAAAGTAATGCTGGGACCATTTAGTTCAAATCTTTTCCTTCGGGTGCATATTCCTCCTCCCATTGTTTGAGGGGACATATTTACTGGGCAGCAGACAATGCCATGAGCAGAACCAGCGTATTGCAGAGACCCCTGAATTCAGTGTATACAACCAAATAACCTTCATGAGAATTCATCTCCATATACAGAGTCTAATAATGAATCAGTCAATGAGCGTGTCTAAATCTCTGACTCCTGTTGAGTCCAGTTGAGAGGAGAGAATTAAGTATAGCAAAAACCCACACTTTTTGACTGTGGTTATTTGGGCTGGTACACCCTTCGTATTATACACATCCTTCGTTCCTCCTGTTTTTGGTATTAAGAATGAGAAACACACATATTCTGTTGGGTAAAACTTTGAAGTTCAAAACTGCAGAGATAAAATTCCAGTGACATGATCCGTGGGAGAATTGGCAGCATTCATCCTAGGAAATCTGCAGGAGTGCCTTAGCAAAAGACTAGGTGAAGATCTATTGGTGCATCAAAGAAGCAACCAAAATAATACAGCCAACAGCTTGATCATTTACTAGATAAGTGATTTTTCCATACTATCAAGAAATTGCTGCTTTCCCCCACACATCAGCCTATGAGGCTATCACTATATTCATTGCCTAGCAAATTTTGCTTTTTTTCATCCTGCATATATTGACTATGTAGGATGTGGGTGAGGTTTTTTTATTTGATTTTTTTTATTGTAGTTTTTGTTGTTATTTTTTCTCAATGAGAGAGAGATATTAAACTGAAAAATTAAGTTACTTGAAGAGTTAATGATTCCTGGTTGCTTTTCTGACAATGAATCCACTCACTCAGTCCATCTCAGGTCCTGAATTTTTTATTTTTTTACTGCAGTCCATTTTTATAAGGCAATGTAACCATGTATTGTGTTGTAACATGACTTATTTTCTTTAAATATTTACTCAATGATTTCAACATTGCTTTTTACAGCATTACAAAACAGAGGACATCTCAGAGATGACAAACTGTTTGCATGAAGAAGTGTACAGTGTTAGGGCCAACTTGGTGGTTCTGGTGATGCCCCAAACACGAGTTCCAATGAAATCAAAACACGTGTCAGCGGGTGTCACACAAAATCAGACAAGATCTTACCAAATGAGGCTTTCGAGAATGTCCTTACCACTTTTTGCTCTTTCTGCAAAGCAGGTTCAACCAAACTAGTCCCATACCAAGTGGAGATGGTGATACTGGTTTGTTCCTTGGCACAACAAATGAAAATGATGAATCACAGAATCACAGAATGGTTGAGGTTGGAAGGGACCTCTAGAGATCATCTAGTCCAACCCCCTGCTCCAGCAGGGACACCCAGAGCACGGGGCACAGGGCGGCATCCAGGTGGGTTTGGAAGACCTCCAGAGAAGGAGACTCCACAGCCTCCCTGGGCAGCCTGTGCCAGGGCTCTGTCACCCTCACAGTGAAGAAGTTCTTCCTCATAAAATGAATGAAATATAATTCATATAATGTAAGTTATATAATATATATATACAATTCATAAAAAGAATGTCAGAAAAAGAGTAGAAAGCAAGGCGTGTCACACCTTTTAGGTAACACAGGCTTCTTAACAGTTTATCATAGCATTTTTATATGGAAAGAGGCAAGAAAAAAATTCGGATAAATTATTGATTATACTGCTAACAGCCTGTCTGTACTTAGTTATTAATGTCACTAAAACAAAAATTGCTAACTTAGCTGGTACCTTTCCCCATTGATCTGACCCAAGTACTTGAAAAAAAACACAGGAAATCTTGTTGAGTATTATCAAAGAATATTTTGTAGTAGCTAGTGGGTTTCTATAACTTTATTTTTTTTTCTTTTTCTAAGCCTTTATTATAGTGCTAGGAATTTTTTTTCCTTTGAAATGGCCACCCTTTTTTTCATAGGCTCCTGACTGTGGTTGTGTGTCTACGTCTGTGCCACATTTCTCCTCACAGTTTCCTTTTGAGGAAACTCTGCCTTTCATCCCTGTGCTGACAGGAAGCCAAGGCAGCGAGTTCCCTGGCCCTCTTGGATGGCACGGAGCCTGGAGCTAGGCATGGTCACCTCCTTCATACCACCCCTTTCAAATCCATCACAAACCATCCAAACTACATCTTGTGTGAGAGGAGGGGAGAGCATCACTGGCCATGGGGAGTCCCTTCATATTCACCTTGGGGTTACCAAGAGCTGAGAGTTGCCAGCCCAGCCACTGTGTTTGTCAAGGGCACCTCGTGCTGGTTCCATGCAAACAAACTCAGGTGCTCAATGGGGGGCCATCTCTGGACAGGAGGTGATTCTATTCACTCCTGTCTGCTCTGCACAAATCTCATTATCAGCTAAGCAGAGGAAGTGATTTTCACACAGTGCAAATTGTGCTTTTGCTTTTAAGCCCTGAAATGTCATTCTGCGTGTTGAAAAAAACTCTCTTTATAGGCACATCAATAGCAATCTGTCCTTGATTTCAGATGGGTACTAAATCTGTCCTCTATGACCCTGATCATCACCTGTGGACAGCAACTGTCCTCCTTTGGTACACAATTCATTGGGTGTAAAATGTTAGGGAAATATGATATTTTAAAACAGATAAGCAGGGTGAGCTGAGCAATAGTGGCTTGTCATCCTGACAGAAATCTTGACAAAATAGGGAAGATACCATTCAACTAATAAAGTATTAAAGGAAAGTAACTGATATGAATGAACATAGATTTAGGAAAACATGTCTTGTCAAACTCACTAGCTATTTTCTGAGGAAATTACTGGTTTGGTATCTGTGTTAGTGTAATAACCTTAGACTTCAGTATGACGCTCGACTTAATTCCACTTGATGTCAAGGTTATGAAACTATAATATTACACACGAAATAAATGAAAAGCTAGCAACTGTTTTGTCTCTAAATCTGCCTGTAAAAAGTTCCTGCTGAGAGAGCACATGTAAATGACCAAGGAGCAAGTACAAATCCATGGCTACCAGCAGTGATTGCTAATGACTCAGGAACATGAAAGGAGGCCCCAACAAGGCTCCTGCCTTCTCCCCCCAAAGTATTGTTGCTCCAATAACCTTGCATACGGTATGGAGACCGCTGCCTGCAAGTGTGGTCCTGTCCATGAACCATCCTGGCCAGGGAAGTGCAGAGGAAACATCATGGGATGAGACATTAGCAACAGTAGCACAAATGCCCAGGGCTCCCTCTCACCTCCTCGCTGCTCTGGGCAGCAAGACCTTCTTCCAGTCCCAGCCAGAGCCTTTGATCCTCTCTCCCTCTCTATTTACCTGCCTCTTGTTCTAGCAGAAGTGCGTGAGTGTAAGAGCACATAATGACTAAAACTAGAGATTAGGCATATTTAGATTAGAAATAAGGAAATTATTATCTCTAAGGGTAAGTATCCCTTGAAGAAGATAGCCTGGTGGAGCATTGCACTTAAAAACTTAGCTCAAGATCTAGCATTTGTTTACTTTTCCTAAAAGATGAAATTCAGCCATGAAATTCACAGAAATTGAACTTAAAAATTAACTGAAGGAAATGTTCTGTCTCTGGCCAGTCTGTGTAAGCACAATGCGTTTTTTTAGTGGGCATAAAATTTATGAAGTACAAATATCGGTAAGATTTGCTCTTAGAGTGCCAGCACCTTCACCTATTCAAAACAGCATAAAGACTAATAAAATCGACAGACCCTGTTTAGACCTATAGTGGGAGGCTGGATAAAACTTACTGAAAACAAATTAATGAAATATTGCACTTAGGGCAAAGGCATCCTAGCAACTATTTAAGTACCATGAATATCTCACACTTTTTCTTTTTCTAAGCTCGGCACAAGTACACATTTCAAACCATAGATCCAACTCTATCTAATGTTAGCAGGTATCTACTCACTTGGATTTAGCCAGAAATATGCATACCAGAAAAGATTAGCTCAACTACAGAGACCTTCCCTGAATGTCCAGGCATAAAAATAGAGGTTGTAACACTGGAAATAAGTTTCTACAGGATCACAAAGACTCGAATTTCTCCATAGCAAATCTCAGAGTGCATTGTTCTCAAAATTGTCCTAAGCTGCTAAAAATAAAAAGCCATAAAACAGTGATGAAGCATTTTTTAACAGTATCTTCTGGATCATCATTTGTTTTATATATGTTATAAAAATGTCACATACTTGTACTGTCTGTCGCAGAATATAGAAATGGCACAAGGAATCCTTAGGGTAGATTATCTTTAGTCGTCACATCTGTACTTTATAAAGCTTAGACTCTGGAAATCTAACACTCCTGTTATTTATTTAGGTTAGGGTTATTATT